GCAAGGCAGAGGCTGGAAAGGTAGACTGAGGGGAAGGCTGTTGTGAGGCAAGGCATTTGAAAGACCAACAGCCAGCACCTCCCAGGCACCACGGACTGGGGAGATGTTGACCGATGTTAGCACAGTTTGCTCCCACAGCTCCTTCCTTGAGCTCAGAGAAGGAATATCATCAACCTTAATGTTTTTCATCTTAAATGTTAGGAATGAGCACAAAGATGAGAAGTCTCACTAAGCCTTTCCCACACCTACCTCCAGAGCCACTCTGGGGAACAGCGACCCCTGTGGATGGTGGAAGGGTTGGCTTTTTAATTTTTATTTTATTTTCAGTACCTGGGATTAAACCCAAGGCCTTTGCACTGAGCTATACCCCCAATCCATTTTCAACATTTTAAATTTTGAGATAGGGTTTTCCAAGTTGCCCAGGCTGAGCTCCAACTCGTGATCCTCCTGCTTTGGCCTCCCAGATTACTAGTATTATAGGCATGCACCACCATGCCTAGCACACATGGTTTTTTGAGATGAGCTAACTGCCTGACAATTTAGGCTGCGCCTCTAGATGCTGGCAGAGACTCTGGGAGGGTGGGAGTCAGAGCTCAGCAGGGACAGAGGGTGGGAAGCACAGGTAAGGAACATAAGCTCTGGCCCCAGAGTCTATCTGCCAGTCAGTCACCTGCCCAGGCTTATACCAGCTCATGGTTACCCAGCGGGAAATGCGCTTACTCTGGCTATAGTGCCCCTTCCTCCTCTTTTCTCCTCCTCAACCTGAGAAGTTAGTTAGTGAGTGGGCTTCAGAAAAAATCTTGCCAGGTGTGGTGGTGCACTCCTGTAATCCCAGCACTTGGGCACCTGAGGCAGGAGGATCACTGTGAGTCTGAGGCCAGCGTGTGCTACACAGTGAGTTCGAGGCCAGCCTGAACTACAGTTCGAGACCCTGTCTCAAAAAACAAAACAAAATTTTACATTCACCTCTGTATCACAATTAAAACTGTACTGGCTCTGGAGTCAACCCGCCTGGGTTCAAATCTAAACCATATTAGCAGCTGTGTAGCCTTAGGTAAGTTTCTAAGCTACTCCAAGCCTGTTTCCTCATCTCTTCACTGGGGGAAAAGAAGATTTCCCACTCTATGGGACCCCTATAGAGTAAATGAGTTAAGTCAGATGAAGCATTAACTGGCACCCAGTGAGCAGTAACCATAGCTACTACTACTACTTCTTCCTCTCCAGGCCAGGTGATCGCAGCTTACGCCTGGATGTGTTCAGAATCACAGCCTCTATGCTGCCTACCAAGCTTGAGGTCTTCCTTGACTTAATTCTCCTACATAAGTGTTGGCATTTCAACAATGTTCCTCTCCTAGTCAAAAGTCACTCTGAGCTGGGAGTCATGGTGCATGCCTGTAACTCTGGGATGCTGAGGCAGGATGATCACAACTTTGATTCCAGCCTGAATAATTTAATGACTTAGCAAGACCCTGTCTCAATAAAAATAGAAAGGGTTGGGTATACAGCTTACTGCAAAGGCCCTGGGTTATTCGATCCCTAGTACCCCAGACACAGACACACACACACACACACACACACACACACACACTCTCACACTCGCTCTGATTCTCCACTGCCCATAGAATTGAGTTCAGATAGATGCCTTTGTGAAACAGCATGTTCCCTCACGCCTACAACTCAGAAATAAGCCAGTCTTCATGATTTGTGCAAGCTTTCTGCCAATGACTCCCCAGCTCAAACTCTAACTGGCCACTATTTTTATTTGCTCTTTCTTTTAATCTTAAATAAATACTCTCCTTATACTTTCTTTCAGCCCACTCCAAAGTTTTATGTACTTAGTGGGGTCCACATTTTCTTTTCTTCCTTTTTTTGGTACCGGGTATTGAATTCAGGACCTTACACTTGGCAGCCAGGTGTGAAGCCACTGAGCTACATCCCTGGCACCAGATTTTCTTTTCTTTACTCATATAAAAAATGAACAAATTAAATGTGAACAGTTCAGTTGCATCTCAGCATTCCTAGTGTGTGCAATAACCCTCTCTAGTTTCAAAAAACATTTTCATCACCTCAAAAGGAAATTTTGTACCCACTAAGTAGTTACTCCCCTCACCTCCACTTCCCAGCCCCTGGCAATGACCAATCTACCTTCTTTCTCCATGTATTTACCTATTCTGCATATTTCCTATAAATGACATCACATGAGGCCTCTTATGTTTGCCCAAACTACTAATATTCCACTGTACACACACACACACACACACACACACACACACACACACACACACACTATGTTTATCCACTCATTTGTTGATGGGATTTGGGTTGTTTCCACCTTTTGGTTGTTGTAAATGGTGCGGTTGTGAAAGTGCATGTGTATGTGTTTAAGTACCTGTTATTGATGATTTGAGGTTGATACTGAGGAATAATTTGATTTGGTATATTTATTCAATGTTTAACTTTTTGAGGAACTACCACATTGTTTTCCACAGGAGCTGTGCCATTTTACATATCCACCCACAAAGTATGAGAGATACAATTTCCACATACTCACCAATATTTGTTTTCCATTTAGTGATTATAACTATCCTAGTAGGGGTGAAGTGACACCTCACTGCAGGTTAGATTTACATTTCCCTAATAACAAATGATGTTTAGCATCTAGCAAGTGCTTGTTGGCCATTTACCTATCTTGTTAGGAGGAAAGTCTATTCAAATTCTTTGCTGATTTTTAAAATTAGGTTGCCTTTTTTTGTTTTGTTTTTGTTTTTTGGTACCGAGGATCGAACTCAGGTCCTTGCACTTGTACAGCAGGCGGCGAAACCACTGAGCTAAATCCCCCACCCATTAGGTTGCCTTTTTGTTGTTAAATTGTAAGGGTTTTTTTACATACTCTGAATTCTAGACCTTCATCAGATATACGATTTTGAAACACAGTGGTACCTCGGTTTATGAACTTAAATTTGTTTTACGATTTGGGGGAAGATGGTTGCATTAGTGTTTTTGTGGGAAGATGGCCATGGTCCTGTTTGATACCTGAAGCAGAGTTTGCAAATGGAAGCAAAATTTTGCTGAACACTTTTGTTTGTTAACTGAATTGTTTGCAAACAGAAATGTTCTTGAATTGAGGTATTCTGTATCTTCTCCTGTAGGCTGTATTCTCATTTTTTTTATATAATATTCTTTGCTATAGAAAAGTTTTAAATTTCGATGAAGCACAATTTATAGGTTTTTGTTGTTATTGTTGTTGCTTTTTTTTTGGTACCAGGGATCGAACTTGGGTCCTTGCGCTTGCAAGGCAGGTGGTGGAGCCACTGAGCTAAATCCCTGGCCTTGCTTCTTCTTTTAATTTCTTTTTTTGGTACCGGGGATCAAACTCAGGACCTTGTACTTGCGAGGCAGGCAGTGGAATCACTGAGCTAAATCCCCAGCCCTTTGTTGCTTCTTTTGATGTCCTACATAATAATCCACTGTCAGATCCAATGAGATGATTTACCCCTCTATTTTCTCCAGAGTATTATGGTTTTAGCTCCTACATTTAGTTTGCTGATTTCTCTTAAGCTAACTTTTACATATATAGTGTAAGGCAGGGGCCCAGCTTCATTCTTTTCCAGGTGCACATCCATTTGTTCCCAGTTTCCTTGTTGTTGTTTTGAGACAGGTTCTCACTATGTAGCCAAGGCTGGGCCTGAATTTGTGATCTTCCTGCCTCAGCCTCCTGGCTACTGGAATTACAGGCACGAACTACCACGCCTAGCCAGTATCACTTTTGAAGTGAGCATTTTTTTGCCCCAGCTGGCCCTGAACTCCTAGGCTCAAGCAACTCTGTGTCAGCCTCCCAAGTAGCTATGACTACAAGAGTGCATTGCAATGTTTTCCAGGGAAGAGACTATCCTTTTTTTTTTATTCCTTTTGGCAGTACTAGGGATTGAACTCAGGGCCTTTGTACTAAGCTACATCCCTAGCCCTTCTTTACTTTTTATTTTAAGACAGGGTCTAAGTCTCTAAGTTGCCCGGGCTAGGCTTGCACTCATCCTGCTTTAGCCTCCCAGGGTGCTGGGATTGTAGGCATGGGCCACCACACCTGGCTAGGAAGAGACTATTTGCTAGCCATTGAATGATCTTGGCAATCATGTTGAAAATCAGTCAGAGGCCAAGACTTCCAAAATATTTCAGTCCCTTCTGCTTCCTCCAAATACTCCACAGCACTCATCTGGCATTTCCTAGTTATTGTCCTGCCTTGGTCAGCAACTTGCCTTAGCTGGAAGTGACAATGAGGCCAGATTCTTAGAGCAAGATGGAACTTCGGTACATTCAGGGAAGGACATCATCTGCAGAAATTGGCAAACTTCAGGAGAAAGGGACCCACAGACCTGTGAGAATGTGGCTAATCTGCCTGTTCTCCTTGCCTGTGGAAATGGGGGGGGGGGGGATGAATCCATTCTGCTGAAAAGACTGGGTAGGGGAGTGGGGGGCTGCTCCTGGGAGAAGCAGGGCATACAGGACACAGGTGGTGCTTTTCCACCTCCACACCATGAGCTGGAGACTGCTTTCCTTCTTCCAACAGGTAGACACTTATACCCCAGGTGTTCCAGCAACAGAACTAAGCTCCAAATGCCTAGAAAAGGGGATCTAGCAATTGGAGAGAAGATTGGCCTGAACAAACAAAACTCACACCCAGCAAAAGAAAGCTGCAGGAGCAGTCAGGCAACAGCCGTTTACAAAACAGGGAAATATGAAAGCACTTGAAGGGATGTAAGTCCAGCACAAAAGAAAGATTCCCGAGATAATAAAACAAAACAGAGACGCGGAGCTGGGAAAGGGGAGGCGGAGGAGGCGGAGGCAGAGCGGGAGACAGGCCGTCAGACCGAGCGGCAAACTGGCAGGGCTGGGCCACGCAGAGCCGGCCCAGCGAGCCCTCCCGCGACCACGGCGAGGAGAGAAGCAGCGGTTCCTGGCCTGCATTCCCGATAGCCCGAGTCCGGACCGGCCTGGTAGTCAAGGGCTGGAGAGCAGATTCCTCCGAGGGCTGGCCCTTCGGCAGGCGCCTTCAGCAGCGGGACCAGGCAGGCCACCATGACGGAGAACTCAACGTCCACTCCTGCGGCCAAGCCCAAGCGGGCCAAGGCCTCCAAGAAGTCCACAGACCACCCCAAGTATTCAGACATGATCGTGGCTGCCATCCAGACCGAGAAAAACCGTGCTGGCTCCTCGCGCCAGTCCATCCAGAAGTACATCAAGAGCCACTACAAGATGGGTGAGAATGCCGACTCCCAGATCAAGTTGTCCATCAAGCGCCGGGTGACCACCGGTGTCCTCAAGCAAACCAAAGGGGTGGGTGCGTCGGGGTCTTTCCGGCTGGCCAAGAGCGACGAGCCCAAGAGGGCAGTGGCCTTCAAGAAGACCAAGAAGGAGGTCAAGAAGGTGGCCACGCCAAAGAAGGCAGCCAAGCCCAAGAAGGCTGCCTCCAAAGCCCCAAGCAAAAAACCTAAAGCCACCCCGGTCAAGAAGGCCAAGAAGAAGCCGGCTGCCATGCCCAAGAAAGCCAAAAAACCCAAGGTCGTCAAGGCCAAGCCAGTCAAAGCATCGAAGCCCAAGAAGGCCAAACCAGTGAAGCCCAAAGCCAAGTCCAGTGCCAAGATGGCCGGCAAGAAGAAGTGACAAGGAAGCCTTTTCTTACGGACATTCCTCTCTTACTCTGTAAATACTTTTTTCTTTCTTCTTTCTTGATTCTCTGCAACCTTTTGATCCATTTATCCTGACTTTATAAGAGACAGACTATGGATTCCTCAGAAATTGTGGAATAACTGCTTTTTCCTTCATCAGTTGTGCAAGGACAACAACAAATCTCATCTCTGTAATGATGAGGATGTACTTATATTTCACTTTGTTGATTTGCTATTAATCTTACGGGGTTCGGGATTTGGGTGGGCTGTGTGTTGGGGGGGTTGCTATGAAGGTAGATGGGGAAGGGGAGAACAGGCTCAGCAGCTGTGTTTGTTCTCCATAGGTGAGAGGGAGCCCACGAATTGTAAAGGTTTATAGGACTGTGTAAGGTTTTCTTTAAGTTGGGCACCCTTATGAGAATTTCCGAACCTTTGGCAAGGAGCAGAGGGGTGACATCTCCCAGGGGTGAGCAGCTAGGGGTCGGAGGCCAGTTCCTTCTCACCTCGGTCAGCCTACCCTTCTGGTCTCACTATTGTGTTAGGGAAGAGGAGGGGGACCGAGTGACAGCTGGTTGGGGAAACTAGCTTCTCCCGGTCAGCTAGGAACCAGCTATGGTGGTGGTGGGGGGGGGCACGTCTGTGCCTTCACCCAAGTCTCTTAATGGGAGTGGAAACTTTGGGGAATAGGGTGGGGAGTCAGTCAGCCAAGTGCCTCAGTGTGCCCTATTGAAATGAAACTTGGGTTTTTTCACACAATTTGATGGATTATTGTGTCTTTGGAGGACTTTTTTTTTTCTCTTGGTATTTTGTTCCTCTACAAGATGTGGCTTTGCTTGGTCTGGTAGGACTCCAGCCCCACCACCGGCTACTTAAAAACCTCCCAACCTCTTTTTACTTTTGAGTCTTTTTTAAGTAGTTGTAAACGGGGAGGGAGAGGGGCAGGGAGTGGACGGTAAGACATACTGCAGTTGATTTGGAATTTGCTATGTAGTTATAGAAACTAGATCTATGTGCATGCGTGTGTTTTGTATATATGCATACCTAGGGCTACTACTTAGGTTTCACATCAGGAGCTGGGAGAAAAAACCTGTACAGTTGTCTTTCTTTTATTTTTAATAGGAAAATATTAAAAATATTTTTTTCGCGCACTTGTCCCCCCCCCCCCCCTTTTTAAACAAGTGTTACTTGTGCCGGGAGAAATTTGCTGTCGTTGTAATTTTAACACTTTAAAATAAAAGCCGGAAAAGGAAAAAAACCCAAAAAAACCAAAAAACAAAACAAATGCAAGCCAGGTATAGTGATGCACACCTGTAGTCACAGCACTCTGGAAGGCTAATGTAGGCAATTTAGTGACTTAGTGAGACCTTGTCTCAAAATAAGAAATAAAAAAGGGCCAGAGATATAGCTCAGGGCAAAAGCCCTAGGTCCCATTCCCAGTAGTGCAAAAAAAAGTTACTTTTGTTTAGATGTGGAAATGGTATTTTGGTTGTATGACTCCCCCCACACACATTGTTTTTAAGAGTTAAAATTTTTTTAAAAATTAACCATTTCAGGGAATGGGGGTGTAGCTCAGTAGTATAGCACATGGTTAGTAGGCATGAAGCCCTGGGACTGATCCTGAGTGTCCCCCCAAAAATCACATAAAAAGATGTTCATATTTACAAGTAGTGAGGAAAGAGAAAATTAATACCATTTTATTGCCATCACATTGGCAGACATTTAAAATAATTATAAGTAGTTCTGCAGAGGAGCCCAAGTCAAAGAGCTGAAAGGTTATGGCCCTAGAAAAGGATGGCCATCCACAGTTGTGATTATGCAGGCTGTGGCAAAACCTGTACAACAAGTTCTCATTTCAAGGCACACCTGCAAACCCACACAGGTGAGAGGCTGCACCACTGTGACCGGGAGGCCGCAGATGGAAATTCATCTGCTCCCATGTACTGACCAGGCACTACCTCAAACACACAGGGCACCGCCCCTTCCAGTGCCAGAAGTGTGACCAGGCCATCTCCAGGTCGGACCCCCTAGCCTTACACATAAAGTGGCACTTTCAAACCCCAGAGTGGACATGACTCGCACTGCAAGGAGAGAAAATTCAGTATTTTTTAAAACCTTTTACACTGTCTTCCCACAAGGGGAGGAGCCCAGCTGGCAAGCACTACAATCACGGTCAAGTCCTAAGCAGGTCATTGTGTGAGTGGATAATCAGGAGAAAGGAGAAATCCAAAAGACACAAAAATCAAAGAATAGATGGTGTCTGTGACTGGATCTTCTATCATTCCAATTCCAAATCCAACTTGAACATGCCTGGATTTACAAAATGCCATGGGAGAGACTGGAAGTTGTAGATATCAGGGTGCAAATTAGATCCATGAGTTGAGGAGGGCAGGAAGACCCGAATTTTCTTGAATTGTGTTTCAACGCAATATAAGTATAAAGATTACCCTGTACCTTTGCCTTCTAGAAGCAATTAGTACGATGTTAGGAGAAAAGGAAGAAATTCAGGTACAGAAAGTGTGTGGGTTTTTTGTTCTTGGTACCAAGGATCAAACTTGGGACCTTGTGCTTGCAAGGCAGGCGCCAGAACCACTGAGCTAAATCCCCAGCCCTCAGAAAGTGTGTTTTAATGGCCTATGTGATGGTGCTTGGTGATGGTTCTAAAGGTGCCCAATGAGGAATTGCGCCAAAGTTCTTCTCAAACTGCTGCACACTTCTTTAACATTTTATGCAGTGTGTTATGTACTGTGGTTTCAGATGTGCAATAATTTGTACAGTGGTTTATTCCCAAGTATGCCTTAAACAGAGTAAAAGTTTTTTCTATATAGTTCCTTGCCTTAATACAAATGTAATATAAATTTAAGCAAACTTCTATTTTGTATATTGGTAAACTACAAAGTAAAGAAATGAGAAAAAAGGTCTGGGGTTTAATCCCCAGTCTCCCTCTCCCCCCTCCACCCCCCAAAAAGAGCTGGTGAACAGGGAGAAGTGACTAGAGTTGGAATATCTTTGGCAAACTGAAGCAGCTAAATTCTGCCCAACGGTTTATAAATCAATGGAGGAATAGAATAAATGAACTGAAGAGTCTAAATACCCCAACAATAGTAGCTTTGCTCTATGATTTAAAGGATGAAGAAAATCAAGCAACACCTACATTTGGATTTCGAGGGGACAAGCAGGAACATTTGGTTCACCAGGTTTTCTAGTGAGTAACAGCAGCAGTGCTAGTGCTCACAGTTTTAGTTTTAAAACAAGCCCTGGAATTGTCACTGCCCTGCCCCTGCCCCTTCTGTGTTTGAGGCTCCTGCAGCATTTGGAGCTGTACCCTCTACTAGTTCTGTCAGTTTACTTCCACTCCAAAGTTTGGATTTGGGAAACCTGAAATCACTTCTGCTGCTTCATTTTCATTTAAAAGCCCTGTAGCTTCCACTTTTGGATCACCCGGATTTTCAGGATTTCCAACTTCCATGGCAGCAGACCCTTTTGGAGCTCCAGTGGCCCCTGCCTTTGAAAGTGGCAGTTCTGTGGCTGGTTTTGTTAGTCCTGGCTCACATTCTGACACTCCTTTTTCTAAGCCACCTAATGACATCTTTGGAGGTGGCAGTACATCTACATCCCTCCCAGTCTCCAGGGTCATCATTACAACAGACAATGTGTTATTCACACCCCAGGATCAACTAACAGCAGAAGAACGGGAACAATTTCAATCCAAGAAATTTACTCTGGGAAAAATTCCATTAAAGCCACTACCTATGGAGCTTCTAAATATCTAAAAGAGCAATTTTAAATACAGAAAAGAATAAAGAGATTGAGGGCCTTTTTTTTGGTAGTGTTAGGGTTCAAACCTGGTTCCTCATACATGCTAGGCAAGCACTGTACTACTAAGCTATGCTCCCAGCCTGGGGAATGGCTTTTGAAATTGTCTTATGTGGTTCATATAAAAGAATATAAATATGGATTTTAAAGTTTAACTTTTTTCTTAAGCATGACTATGTAAAACATATAATAAAATCTCATCAAGATGGAAATATATTGTACTGTAATTACAAATGGAACTGAAATAATTTGTATGTATTGAATAAAATAATTTTCCTATTCTATATAGCTTTACCATTTCAGAACTAAAAAAATGTGTACTGAATAAATTATTTTCCCTCTACAAAAAAAAAAGAGAAATGCTCATTTTGTGGTGTTTGTATTTTGCATACTCAAGGTGAGAAATAAGTTTTAAATAAACCTGTATTTTATCTGAAAAATTAATTATAAATAGTTCTTAGCCTTTGCTGATAAAAATATGAATTGCTACATTTTGGAAAAGCAAACTAGCAAATTCTAAGAATTAAAAAAGTATATAGTCAGGCCTAGAAGTATATCTCAGTGACAAGAGCACTTGCTAGCATGTGTGAAGTTTTGGGCTTGATCACCAGCACTGCAAAACAAAATGAAACAAAAAAATCCCTCCATATACTCTCACTCCAGTAATCCCACTGTTGGTTATTGTAACTGTTGTAATCCCATTGCCTGGAAATAAAGCAGCGTTGAGGATAAAGTAAAGTATATCTATTTCAGTGGGTCAGGGATGTAGCTCAGCACAGTGCAGCACCTGGTAAGTGCAAGGTCCTGAGTTTGATTCCCAGTACCAAAAAAGTGTATCTATTTCACAACAGTCCATAGAAGAAAAAAGTAGAAATAAAATATCTACTTACAGATGGTATATGTACCACATAGAATATCATGCAGCCACAAAAAAAGACAAATAGGCTTCTACCAGTTGATTAAAAGGATATCCAGGGCTGGGGATTTAGCTTAGTGGTTCCAGTGCCTGCCTTGCAAGCGCAAGGTCCCGAGTTCGATCTCCAGTACAAAAAAAAAAAAAAAGGATATCCATTACATAGGGATGCTTTACGATCAAGTAGATTGATGGATAGCAAGTACCTACTGCAAACTGTAAAATGCTGAACAAATGAATGTAGGGTAGGTAATATATGTGTGTTCTGTTTGAAAAGGCAATGTGAATAAAATGACACTTTCTATGTATTCAGGCTTCCAGCTGAGCTTGGCAACAATATTCATTACTGGGTGGGGATATTTATGGATCTACTCAACGCGAAGCTTTAGAAGATAAATCATGAAGATTTACTGGGACAGCCTTGAAGCCAGAGAGACAGTGATGCTCTATTTATCAGCTTCCTTAGGGAGTAAAACATTCCTCAGAAGTTACTTTTCCAGAGGCCAGATATTTTTCCTTTATCATGATAAAATGTCATGAATTTGGATGTTTGTCGATGATGTCTTGCTAAAATGTGTTATTCATCCTGTCCCTTCTAAAACAGGAGACATTATGAATGTCCTTTATGCTACTGCCGAGCAATACAGTGGCAATGGATGGTTTTCACTTCTGTCATCTCTTAAAATCTGGCAGTGTGCTGGGGCCGGGGATTTAACTCAGTGGTTTCGCTGCCTGCAGCGCAAGCGCAAGGACCCGAGTTTGATCCCCGGTACTAAAAAAAAAAAAAAATCTGGCAGTGTGCTATCACTCTATCACTTTAATAATAATGATTTCTAATCATTGTCATTTTTACTGGAAAGCTAGAAGATTAAGCTGACCAAGAGCTGCATGTTAAAAGTATCAGTCAATATGGCTCTAAAGAAACTCTCGGATAAAGGATATGGCTTTTGGACTACTATTGCACTCTCAGAGGCCTTTCCTGAAAACTTCCTGAGGGCTGTCTTCCAGTGGCTGAGTGGTGCTATTACTACAAAGCTGCTCTTAGCACCTGTATATAATGTGCTGCCCAAAGAAAAGACACACACCCTGATGCAAAATGATCTGCAGACACAGATGTACAAGTTAGCTACTACAACTTCTCAAAATGCAACAGCCAAGCTGGACCTCTGATAATTTAAATCAGCAAAACATAAATAACTACATGAAGGATATAGGTGTTTAGGCTGTCCCATACTAAAGAAGAGTGATTACTCTGGCTCAAGTGGATTTACTCATGTAACTAATATTTACGGATTGCACATTCCTTGCTAGCCACTATATTAAATCTGAAATGCAATGGAGAACAAGATGTAGTTATTCCCTAAAATAAGTTTTGCTCTATAATAGCTTCTTAAAGGTATTCCTAGATCATTTGTAGTGTTTACCATATTCTCAAGGCATCTGTACTATTACCTCTTTAGATGACTCTCCAAATTAATTCTATTTTTCCCAATAAACAAGTGTAACAAAATAACAACTGGTTTATCCATTAACCACCTAAACTACTTGTTATATCAATTTGGTCATGACACTTTGGAGACACTGATCTTGTGGGAATCACACTACTGATCTACACTACCATTAAAGCTGCAGTATGTACTAGAGTCCCATGATTACATTGTCAACCTGGCCCTCTATTTCAAAGTGACTTGTAGACACAGGAGATGAGAACTATCTGCAGAGATACTTGAATTCATATCCACATGGCTGGCAGATGACAGTGCCCAAGGATGCAAAAGAATATATGTAATTTATTAATGCACTAGGAGCACTAAGGATAAGGAAGACTGTTATAGAGCCTTGGACAAGTGGCTACAGAAGATAGATAAAGGAAATAATAGCTGGATGTGGTGGTGCATGCCTGTCATACCAGCACTTGGGAGGCTGAGGCAGGAGGATCACTGAGGGTTTGAGGCCAGCATGGGCTACACAGTAAGTTCAAGCCCAGCCTAAACTACAAAGTGAGACCTTGTCTCAAAAAAAAAAAATTTTAAAGGGAAATAATATATTTAGAATGATACAGACAAAAATAAAATTATACTTTAACCAACTGGTATCAATGCTTAATTGTTTCTAACAAGCTACTGAAAATGTCTGCAGTCATTATGATATAAGTCAACAAACTGACCTGCCAAAGTAAATTGAGACAATGACTAAAGAATCCTTGGTGGCAGAGAGGAGATACCTTAGAGACCACAACCTATTTACAAGTGTAGCATTCCCTCACCCTGGATGTGAAAGTTGCAGTGATAATAAAAGATCTGCTGGCAAAGGTCAGTTATAGTTTGAATTATATGCTAAAAGTCACATTAAGGACAGCCTAAGACCACCTCTTGTTGCAGCTTGCCATTTGGCAAGAAAAACCAGCCAAGTAAGCAAAACACCTGGCCGTCCCAAGATAGGCAAGGCATGCTTACATATAGATGGAAACCAAGTAGAAGCAAGGATTTTAAATAATGGAGTCAGAGTGGATAGGCTG